GTACTCGACCTTGACACTATTGCTTGTTTCCTGGCACTCCATGAAATAAGGTTAGACCCAAAGAAAACAACAAATCCTCCTGTGGATTTTCTATCATCACTACAGCCTGCCCAATCCGCATCAGAGAAAGCACTAACCAGTGTAGAATGGGAACGTTTAAAACACAGCCCCAAATCTATAGTGTGCTTCACATACCTTATGATCCTTTTGACATCTGTCCAATGAGCAGAAGTGGGAGCATGCAGATATTGACATACTTTGTTAACAGAAAATGAGATATCTGGCCGTGTCAAGGTTAAGTATTGCAAGGCTCCAACAGCACTTCTATACCTGGTGCTTTCCTTCTCATTAAGTGGTTCCCCTTCATAAGCTGACAGTTGTTCTGATGAGGATAATGGTGTGGGGGAAGGCTTGCAATCCTTCATTCCCATCCGAGCCAAGAGTTCAGTGGCATATTTTTCTTGTTTCAACACTATACCATCCTGAACCTTCTTAACTTCAATGCCTAGAAAGAAACTTAAATCACCAAGATCCTTTAAGGCAAATTCTGAGCTTAGATCACGCAAAAGAGCATTAGTAGCATTCTGAGAAGAGCTTGCAACTATAATGTCATCAACAAATATGAGCACAAAGATGACTGTATTTGCCTTATTGTATATGAAGAGAGATGTGTCAGCTTTTGATGCAACAAAGCCAAGATGTTTCAACTGCATACTTAGTCTGGAATACCATGCTCTAGGTGCTTGTTTCAAGCCATAGAGAGCCTTGTCAAGTTTGCATACATAATGTGGTTTTTGCCTGTTTTCATAACCTGGTGGTTGCCCCATGTAGACCTCCTCTTCCAGAACACCATGTAAAAACGCATTCTTTACGTTTAGCTGTCTCAGACTCCATCCCCTAGACACAACAATTGCTAGCACAAGTCTTATGGTTGCAGCTTTTATTACAGGACTAAATGTATCCTCATAATCAATACCATAACGCTGCTTAAAGCCTTTAGCAACAAGACGTGCTTTATACCTGTCAATGGAGCCATCTGCCCTCTTTTTGATTCTATACACCCATTTACAATCAATGATGTTTTTACCTCTTTGATTTGGTACCAAACGCCATGTCTTGTTTTTTATCAGGGTTGTATACTCCTCATCCATGACCTTCTTCCACTTTGGATCTCTAAGCGCATCATCTAGTTTTGTCGGCTCTCCTGAAATACACAGCATACCATACCTTATTGTGCCATCAGTCCTTATTTTTGGGTTTTTAATACCTTTTTGTAGTCGAGTTGTGACTTTGGATGTGGCTGGTTGCTGCTGTACACGCGGGCGTGCGGATCCACTTGTCGCAGAAGATCCTGGAGAGGAGACCGGAGTTGCCGCATCCGATCATGTGGTCGCAGATGTGGCGCGCGGATCCACAGCCGCACCGTCTGTAGCCGCAGACGATCCCGTGCCAGTCGCGCCAGGTGGGCCTGTTGGCTGCATGCACCCACCGCGCCTCGCAATGATTGGCTGCATGCGCGGGCCGCTCGATGGAGATTCTCCGCGCGATGACATGGCGGTGGCGGAGCGGCTCGCCCGCGCCTGATTCTCCTGTTCAATCGAATCACGATCCGAGGCGAATATCGCGCGTGATCCGAGGGAGATTGAGGCGCAGGGGTGGCAGGCGCCGCCAAATCATCCTCGAACGCCGCGCCACCTTCGTCTTCTTCTTCTACATGAAATATAGCTTCATTTTCTTCAGGATTTTGATCATTCTGTCCATTTTCTTCCCTGTTTCCTTCAGGTACCTGCACACACGGAAGACAAGCACTGGTTCCAGCAGGAATATTATCATAATGTTGGTTTGTACAATTGTTGTTTCCCCCGTGATCAAAACCTCGAAGTGTAGGTGGAAGAAGAAGAATCTCTTGACGAAGAAGAGCGCCGGCATTGGGATGGAGGGATTCAAAAGGGAAAATTGATTCATCGAACACAACGTCTCGAGATATATAGACTCGGCCTGTGGGAACATCTAAGCACTTGACTCCTTTGTGCATAGGACTGTAGCCCAAAAACACACATTTTTTTGAACGAAACGCAAGTTTGCGTGTGTTGTAAGGTCTTAGGTTCGGCCAACATGCACAACCAAAGACTCGTAGAGACTTAAAATCTGGTTTTGTTCCAAACAAGCGTGTGATTGGACTTTCATACTTGATGACTTTGCTGGGTCGAATATTTATAAGATATGTGGCAGTGAGAAAAGCTTCATCCCAGAATTTTAGGGGCATGGAAGCATTGGCTAGGAGTGCTAATCCTACCTCAACAACATGACGATGTTTACGTTCAGCCGACCCATTTTGCTGATGAGCATGGGGGCAAGAGACATGGTGGGAGATTCCAATTTTTTGAAAAAAGGAATTTAGCTTCTCATACTCACCACCCCAGTCGGTTTGCATAGCAAGAATTTTTGAGTCTAGTTGGCGTTCAATAAGATTTTGGAAGTTGGTAAAGACTTGAAAAACATCAGATCTTTTCTTTAGTAGATAGATTCAGGTGAACTTGCTATAATCATCAATGAAACTCACATAATAAGAGAATCTACCAACTGATGTGGGGGCTGGTCCCCATACATCTGAAAAAATAAGCTGCAATGGAGCAGTGGAAACACTTGTTGATATAGGATAAGGTAACTGATGACTTTTAGCTTGCTGGCAAGCATCACAAATTGACTCAACGCTAGACTCATAAGGTAGTTTATTCTTGCTAAGAACATGCTGAACTATAACTGAGGAGGGATGACCCAGACGACTATGCCACCTGGCCGAAGAAGGTTTGGTGACACTCCACGCTTGTTTATTCGACCATGATGAAGATGAAGATGATATGAGTGGATACAGGCCTCCCTCACATTTTCCTCTAAGGATGACTCTCCTCGTTGACAAGTCCTTGATCACAAAAGAGTGAGGATAAAATATTATGAGAACATTGTTGTCAAGAGCAAAACGATGAACAGAAACAAGATTTTTTGAGGCATGTGGAACATGTAAGACATTGTTAAGAAGTAGGTCTTTTACGGGGGTTTTAACAATTGAATTTCCAACATGAGTAATGTCCATACCAGTTCCACTTGCCGTGTGTATCTGATCACCGCCGTGGTACCTTTCCCGCATCGTCAACTTGTCGAGCTCGCCTGTGATATGCTCGGTGGCACCAGAGTCGGCATACCAGTTGGTGTCAATGCCGTAGTTGTTGGTGATGAGGTTGGCTGCCTTCTTTTCTTCATGATCATCATCATACCGATGCCAGCAGGCTCTTGCTCCGCCAGCATGGAACTTGTAGCAGATTTGGCACTCGGGGGTAGTCGCCCTCTTGCTGCTGCTGTTGTTGTGGTTGAGGGCGAAAACGTTGCTGGTGACCGCCGCCGCCACCCCCGCGACTCGGGGAAGGAGAGGAGCGGTTTCCTCAACCGCGGCCCCCTCTGTTGCTTCGGCCACGGCCTCCCCTGCCGCGGGACTGTCCGCGCCCTCTATAAATGGTGTTGGCAGAGGAGCGGAAACCTGCTGGACCGTCGCCCAGCATCTCCATCCGCTGATCAAACGCAGCAATCTGCGCAAAGAGATCATCGATGGTGATGGAGTTTTTGATGGCACCGATCGCTGCCACGATGGGATCGTAGTCCCGATCGAGGCCAGCAAGGATGTAGTCCACCATCTCCGGGTCGATTACCGGACGTCCAGCCGCAGCTAGCTCGTCCCCGAGGCTCTTCATCTTGGCGATGAATGCGTTGCTCGACATGTTGCCTTTCTTGGTGTTGGAGATGGCCATCCGCAGATTGGTTATGCGGGATTGTGACTGCGTGGCGAATAAAGTGGTAAGGGCAGTCCAGAGATCAAAGGTACTATCCTTACCGATCACTTGCGCCAGGATTTCTTGAGTGAGGGAGTTCAGCAGGTAGCTCAGAACCTGCTGATCCTTCGACAACCACGGGCCGTACAGAGGGTTTGGCTCTATGGCTGTGGTCTTGTCCGCCTTGGTGACTTCGATGGTCTTTGGCGGTGCAGCATCGCTGCCGTCGAGGAGGCCGGTCACTTGCGCGCCTCGCAGTGCCGGCATGACCTGCGCCTTCCATAGGAGGTAGTTCCCCCTTGCGAGCTTCTCTGATGGTGGAGCACCTAGGTTGAGGCCGGCGGCGCTCGAGCTCGTAGCCATGGCGATGGAAGGGTGTTTAGGGTTTCTGGTTTGCTAGACGATAGGAAGAGACGTGGCTCTGTATACCATGTAAGATGTATCTGGTGGAAGCGTTCCTACTCCTCCGTAGAGGAGCCGCGAGGCTTTATTGATCGTGGGCAGGAAACGCCCCTGCCGTGGCTTACAAGTCATCTACCGATCGCTGGGATTCGGTAGGATAAGAGATAGGAGGTTACAAGGGAGAGGAAGAGATAAGTAGTTTAGATTACAACAGAATATATCTCTAAGTCTAACATCTACTACTTGTCATGAGCCAGGAAGTGAGGGCACGTACAATAATACTATCTTAAAAGTATCACATAGGATAAATGCTAAGGTGAAGAGAGAGAAATTATAAAAGGAGATAATCTATTGTAGACATCCTTTTATTGTTATCTCTAAATTACATGCAAGATTTAAGATAACACCGTCTTAACAACCACTGTACATGCCCTGTTGATGTCTGTCACGAGTTTTCATCTGATTCTGTTTCTTCCGGTTCGTGTTTTCCGGGGGCCTAACACGAGATCCTGATAATGCACGTGGCAAAATCAAGTATGATATACTACTTAACACGAGATCCTTTTCTTAGTTTATATTTACTTCAAAAGCAAGACAGTCCAACCAAATGGAGAAGGAAAGCACCTTTGCTAAGCAGCAGTAGTGGTCAGGCTAAGTTATTCTGCAAAGCGATACCACTTTGCGTTGCGCTAAATCGCACTAATCAGCGCAATTTTTGTAAGTTTTGTCGTAGTTGATTAGTAGGCCCTACCAGATTGCTTGCGGCATCCCCTCTTATTGAATCTTTTTAAGTTTGACCCCCGACCACGGCGCACCTTCTCCAATCAGGGAGCCGTTGCGTATTAGAGAACCATATCCGCACACGAGTTTGCTGTCAGGCCTCTGAAAAACCGTCACAATTTCACACGTTAGTCGGATGTTTTTTCTTAGGCTTTGGCTTCCCATCCAATGGTACCACTACAGCTGTTCCCGGGTGAGCTCATGTCCAAGACTAATCAGAGCGACAAACATGCAAGCAACATGTTTTGATTAGCAGTCAAGGATGGTACACACGATGACTAAAATCTGAACCTGTTTTGGTCTCGAAAACCTCTGCATCTGAATAATGTTGGCAAATGATGTGAAGTTGTTCTGCAAAGCATTAGGGGATTATATATACTGTACATAGGAACTGGCTTTATATATCCTAGTCATGGGCAGGCAATTCACAAGCTGCCGTCAACAAACTCCTCTATCGTCGAAAGGGAAAACGCAGCATTAGTAGATGTCAACAAAAATAAGATCAGATCAGATAAAAAGAACTGAGGTATCCCCTCTATAATCACTCAAATATACAGAACCGTCACAACATTGTCTGACCGACCAGTCACCCGCACCCTCATTGGCAAGTAAACGATAATATAGACAACTCAAAATCAACTGTTACAAGTGACAACAGATCATACAGCGCCTCAAAAACTCGTGAAGCTCAGCAGACTTGTGGTGCTTAAATAGGCTGTTTACATTGCCGGCCAATAAGCCTGCACTGCTCCGGTAGCATGGAGCAGACTACCTGCCCCTTGACGCGGCAGAGCTCCCCGTCTATCCCACAGCCATTGTGGGTGTTTGCACCAGGTTTAACCTTGACTGATTTCACCTGTCAATGTCGGACCAGCAGTTAAGACCGAGTCAGTGTTGTTACTAGAAGCAAACAATTATACTGTGTAAAAGGAAGTAATATTTCTGACAAAAATGAACCCCACCCCACCCCCGACGTCAAATGGAAGCTCTTCAAAAAGCACAAATGGAACATGGCAGAAAAATAACTTGAGCAAGGACAGAAGTGGCATGATACCTTCACATATTCCACATATGGTAAAGAAAGGTGGCGACCAAATTGCAGTAGTATGAAAAATCTCAACAGCTTCCATCTCCCCCTTCCGCCAACTAAAAGTAAGTCCAGACTGTTGTCATCATGGCTCGCATTTGGCGCGACAATCTGGGAACTTTGAACTGTTTTGCATGAGTGGTTACATACTAGGACACCAAGAAAGTGCCCCTTCCTGACAACCCATTTCTCATCCAAATTCGGCACAAGTTCCATAGATGTTCCGATTTCTATATCTTCTGGTGGTTCAGGAAGTTCGATAGGGTGGTCAGGCTCCCAAGTTGGCTCTGTGTCCCATCTTGGCCCAGTGTCCCACTTTGGTTCATTGTCCCAAATAGGTCCTGGATCTGATATTGTCGAGGAAATGTCCTCCTTATCATGCATTGAAGGGGCTGCCCAAGATAACCGTGTATCATTAGAAGCTGTGACACCAACTGAATTTCTATCGGTCCTTGTTTTGGACCTCGTTCTTGGCCAGTATGATGCATGATGCTGTTGAGGGCGTAGGACTTCTTCTGGTTCCGAAACAATGTTGCTTCTGCCCATAGATTGCCGTTTTGCTTTTGGATCAAGACCACGAACATACTCTGACGGTTCACTGCTTGCCGCTGTACCACCTGATGTGTCAAAGTCCCCAAGAGACATCCTACTTGGAGTCATGATAGAGTCAATACTTGAAAAACTGGAAGCTCGTGGAAATCCTTCTCTTTTTGATCGACTGCGCATTACATCTGTATAGACATCAGACAATTCAACTTTGTCTTGTCCTGTACCTTTTCCATGCCCGGACATGTCCTTGGACAAAGGAAGATATTCTAACTCATAGAAGTAACTTGGTAGACACAAAAATTTGAGTACTCCAGCCACAAAATATCGAAGAGGGCCAAATCTCTTCTGGTATTTCTCGGAAAGTTCCAGGACTGCAGCAAAGTTGAAATAGTTTTTCAGCTCAGTAAACTTTTTCAGTGCTATGCCATGCTGCACTTCTGCAAATACTTGATAGTAGACAAATAAACTAAATTTCTATGTTTGCAGTTATGGCTGATAAGGGTACATTAGTAAATTAGTAATTAAGAACTATACGCAGATCTTGAAACTCATTAAGAATAGACTTACGAGGACAAAACTACATCATTTGCTCAGGGAACTTTAGATCGAATGCAAACTTACAAAAAGCAAATTAAAAGTGGGTTATCATATGCTGTTACTGTTGAAGAAGTCCTCCAAATTAAAAATGCACTACAAAAAACAGCTACTAAAAATACTTATTACTGATATTAAGAAAATCAGAATCAGATCCATGTTTGACTATCTGTGGAATCATTATATACTCATGCAGTTCGTAAGATGCCATTTTAGACATTGACATGGTTATCAATATGCATGTTTGTATAAAACTATGAAATTTTATAGGTGCATGTTAGTATAAAATTATGAAATTTTATATTATGAAAACGTTTTCATGAAAATTCTAAGGTACTATTTTCTCCTTACCAATCTAAATATTTGTCTATGTATAGTAGTCAAAATTAGAAAAGTTTGTTGTATGATTGTCATTTATTTTTACAGACAGAGAAAGTATGTCATACAGTATTACTCTTGTTGTTTTAGACATTAGACATTGACATGGTCTCCAAAATGTAACTTTGACAATTAATATCAATTGCAATCTATGTATAAAACCCAACGAAACTGTATATCATGGAAGTAATTATCAAGATAAATTTCCGCATAGGATTTTCAAGTATCAATCTAAATCTTTAGAGATGTTGGTAGGCAGAGTTTCTAAAGTTTGACTTTGCAAATGTCCAACAACAAGTTTTAGGGAACTGTGGAGGAGTATATCAGAAGAAACGTGATAAATAGTGAAACAAAATAAATGTGAAAGCACATTTGCAGTTACCAACTTACCATCACTAACAAAACCATAGTATGAAACAGTTGTGCCGAAATGTATTAGCCCGGATTGGAGCCACTCAACAGCCAATATGTCTAGGGTTGTAAAGCCACCCTGTTACCAAGGGATAGTTCTTGTGAGAAAAGTTTAAAAGTGATAAACTAATTTTGTAAAAGGTGAAAGTGAGAACATAAGCTGAAATTCCGTTCTTCATGTAAGAAGAAGTTGTGATAAATTTGGCATACCTTAACAATCAACAATGAAGCAGAAATAGGATCCTTAACTCCCAGAACAGTCCAAATAAGTGAGTTGTCCGATCCTGCTGGGATTATTCCAACTGGAATTGACACAGCTTCTGTTCTATCGCTTCTGGTGAGAAGACCGTTGAACACCTGCAAAATTATCAATGTTCAGCTAACATTTAAGTCACTACATGACTACACATATAAAATAGTGATATGAATATTATGTGCAAACCTCATTTACTATTCCATCACCGCCAACACAGACAATCCCTACAAAGATAGAATAAAAAAATCAAGGCATTAATTAGACCAGCTGCAATGGTTGCCTCTATATTGGGCCTTACATAAACTATTTAAAAACATGCGTAAAGTTTATACCATCAGGGAATGCGCCAAAATCAAAAGTAGACGCGAGAGACTTCGCATGACCAGCGTGAGTAGTTTTAACTACTTCCATGTGAAAACCTGCAAGCTACACCAGATCACAGGGGATTAGTTGCTGGAGGTAAACAATATAAAACTTACATAGTTAAGAATAAGAGTGCCTAATATTTATATATGATAGGAAGAATCCATAAATCAGCGCATCAAATCGCCAATATTCATCATAAACAGGAGCTTAGAAATTTCAGCTTATGCAACTATCTTCTAAATAATCTACAGAAAACGAGATCAGCAGTACCCAAGTTAGCTCATTTCAAAGTGAATAACTCATGTGAGTTCTACAAGATTACAACAGTCGATTTCATGCTGCCACGGGAGAGGAGTTAAAATGCTAATCATATTGCCGAAACATTTTCCCTGTGGAATTTAACAGAGCTATTTGTTCCTGTTCAATTACTGTATTCCTTATTTTCCACCTTTACTATTACAGGTTGAAATTAATAAGAAGCTGAAATACACCCTGCTTTCCTGTTATTTTAAAATTTGTTGTACTCAAACTTAACCACAAATATGTTTAAGACTACCCCAATATCTATATGAAAATTACTCCCTCTGTAAACTTTTATAAGACGTTTTAGGTCACTGATTCCAATATAAACCTAACCACCAATATGTTTTAAGACTACCCCGATTATCTTATAAAAGTTTACAGAGGTAGTACATCAGTAAATTTTTTGTTAATGTATTATCATATTATTATAATTTATCATATAAACCTATGAATAGTAAGGGTCAAAGTTAAATATCAAATACACTAAAAGGCCAAGAACATAACAGTATAACTTAAGAAACAACAGAGGAGAGTACTATCATCTTCTTCATGAGATTTCCACAAGACTGAAGACCAAATGGTCAATAGAGGTTTCATGAAGCAAGTTTATCACCAGACAGATATATACAGTCGCTTCGAATATTGCTTTTAAAAGCAGTGCAAAAGGTAGAAGTTTTACATTGAAACCATCAAAAGTTACCTTAAATATAGGTTCTGCTTTTTCATGGAAAACTTTAATTGATCGACCATGTCCAGAACGAGGGTTCAATATAACAAGTATTCTCTGCGGAGTTCTGCATTTGATTGGCGGGTAATCAAATAGAACCCCACCAAGGGGGGCATCTGTGTCTTGCTTAATACTGGATGTTGCAGGATGAGGCAGTACATTAATGTATATGTTCTGTTCTGCAAAGCATGTTACCCACAAAATGGCCTCGTCTAGTGTAGAGGCCATAAACCGGAAGTCCTTCCGAGCTCTATGTGCCTTTCCAAATAGAGAGTTCTTAGCAGGATATGCATGTAAAGTAAAATGTTGGAGGCCAGAATTATAAGATACCTGCGAAGATACAAACACGTCACACAAAATCACGGGATTGTCAACTGGGCCAAATAACAATTGAAGTGCATCTTGGTCTCTGAAACTTACAGAGATGACATCCTCAAGGCTGAGTACAGTAGAACCCCATATAAGGGCTTTACTTGTGAGTCTTGCATCAGTTGTATCAGCTTTCTTGTTTGATGACAGATGACCATCCGCCCCTATACTTTTATTTTTCCTGTCATAAAACAGTTTGCCAGAATAGACTTCGAAACCTACAAAATTGGACCTCTCATCCACCGTATCAGTTCTACGCTCATGGTTTTTACCCTTTTTGGCATCTTTATTGTCAACAGCCACATGCTTTTGCCTCAAAGATCTAGATTTGCCTCTTTTCTCTGGAAATACAGTGGGGGAAGATTGTTGCCCAGCTGACTTTTGAGAACGCCGGCTACTGGAACGGCGGCTGGATTTCTGAGATGAGTTTCTGGATGTTGGATTCTCTAGATCAGTTGCGTCCATCTCTTTGTTTTAAGCAGGACCTTAAGAGCATCGGAACGGGTAAGGGGTTTGATACAGCTTAAGAAGAGTATGGCACATGATGACCCCAGTTGCCCTGTGAAAGGATTGGCATAATTAAATAATCTGCGACAAAAGAGAAACAGCACAAATATAAGTAAGATGCATATATATAGCTGGTAACTGCTCATTGCTTCCCATGGATCAAAAGCATGTGTTCAGGGCAAACGAGCACATATGAGCTTCATCCCCCAAAGACTGATAGCCACAAAAGGGCAGCTCCTCACTAGTACTGCTGGAATATCTGAAGTGATGATATATTATGCCTAATATCCGCTAAACTGTCTAGTACCCTAGAATACCTTTTTGTGAGACTTCAAACAATTCAACTCCTATAGCCGTACAAATTCAGATCTCCACAACCACATGTGCTACAACGCATTTCCAGGTCTCGAATTCGTGGTTTGATACAGAGATATGGGGAGCACGACGGGGCGGATCTAGATTGTTTGGAGGGTGCGCACCGGCACGCGAAAAATTTACAGGATCGGTTCGGGTCAAGTAATCACCGAATGACCAAAAGCTCGTACCTCAAAAACCAGTGTCCGGGATTGCGGACGGGGCGGAGACAGCAGCGACGCGGTGAAGTAGGAGCGGGGGCGGCGATGGCGGCGACGCGCGTCAGCGGCGGGGTTGTTGGGGGAGCACAGCGGTGGTGGACTATAGGGGAGATTGGGTAGGGCAGAGCATGAGAGCAGCGTGGCGGAGGAAGGGATCGGGGAGGAAGAGGAAAGGCACAGGAGGGTGGAGAGGAAAAGTCCGTCTAGCTGGGGAGGAGGAGGACTGGAGGAGTGGAGTTTTCTGATGGTTCAAATCGGTGGCTGGCACGACTGGGTGATTTGATGGTAGATGGAGGGTGTGCAGATTCTGACTGCATCAGAAATTATTGTATTGTGTCAGATGGATGGTAAAGACAAGAACTTTGTACACTGGTACTCGTTTGTTATCCGAAAATACCCAGGGTCTAGGCGTTGTATAATCACACATAGATAGAAATATGGATCTTGAGTCAATAATCTCTTTGCCATTTGTTCGAAAAAGAAATAACTTTGTTCTTTGCACTCTTCATCGGCTCGAGCCTATTGCGTAGGGGGATGGAGAATTTGATGAGAGCGCGTGCAAGTATTGACGATTTGAAGGCATCGCCGCTAATGAGTCAATTTTAGGTTGGTATTACGATCCACTTTGTTTATTGGGCATAAGATGAAGGGTTGAGCAATACCCTCCTTGCCATAAATATCTTTGACGTGTGATTTTTAGCGCAACTGCTGCTTTAATGTTGGAACTCATTGTTACCATAATTGCCCGTTTCCTCTTACAAGTCGTCATTCTTCTTTGTCGTGTAGCAGTACTCTCATTACACGACTAGGGTCCCCGCCCCCTCCCGCGCATGTCTCGCGCACGCTGCTTGTATGAATAGTATGCCATTATTGAGCCAGACTGTTGCAACACCGTGGCAGCACACCATTTTGCAATGTGATGAAAAAGGTAGAAAAATTGACGAGGTGCAAACAATTAAAAGGTTTCCAGTAAAGGGAACCGCTCGAGACCACCGCCACCACTACTCTCTTTCTTGTCGTAGCCCTTGTCGCCGTCTCTCTGTTTGTTGTGTAGTGGCCTTCATTTATACTTCACTTGGGCAAAGACCACCCCCGACAGAGATAATTTCATTAGCGGCATTCTCTATGATCATGACACTTCATCATCATCGCTCTTTTTCATCACTCCCATTTCAATGACCACCTTCCGACGACAAAACTGTGCTTCTTTTGTGCGTGCTCGATGAGGCAGAGCCTTTCTCGTCTTCTTTTCACTCTGTCCTGGGTAATGCCCACCCTTCGTGTGAGTGTTGGATGTCACAGTGTTGGTAGTGGCACAACTCTTTGATGTGACTACTCGTGGTTTGCCCCAGTCGGTGGTTCCTGTGTTGTCTTGGTGGAACTCTCATGTATCCTTTAAAGTCCGCCTCTTTGCTGTCTTCTAGCATGTTGTGCCATCTCGGCAGCCTCACCTATGTTTCTAGTGGCGCCCTCTATGTGGTTATGACGTAACTTATGTTGCATCAAAACAATCACATGCACCTATCTAATGTTTAAGAGGTCGTTCTTTGTGTTGTGTTGTGTTGTAACTATGTCTTGATGTTTTCCTTCTTGTATACTTGTCTCTGCAGGATGTGTGTGTGTCCCTAGGGTTGTTTAGGTTTTCGATCCAGACTTCCTTATAAACTAAAACTTTGATTTATGACTCCTCCACTAACTATAGGTGAAAGGACGACATGAGGTCATACCTATATCATGTGAGGACATCAAATAAACTTGACAAAGGGTGAATTTTATTGGCTCAAAATGAAGCATCAAGAGAATACAAACACAATGAGCACACCCAGCCTCTGCATAATTAGGATGCACACAACCAACACTAACGCACGCACACAAAAACCTGCCAGCAAATAGCAAAGTCATATAAGACCAAAGATATGCGTAAGCAAGGGAAAAAAATACAAAGCGATTAGATCCAATCAGCAAACTGCATTAATGATCATATCTGCATCAACCATGTCATGACACCACATGAATGATGAGGTTCTTCAACAGCAACGCCTTCAGAAAGGGAGCAACGATCAATCGCTGCCATCACCGAATCCAACCACACAAGGTCAGGATTTAGGTTTTCACCCTGAAGAGCTAGTCTGAGCATATCCGAGCAATACCTTCAACAAGGTAACGACGTAAAAACATCGCCATTGCCAGGCATAACCAACCCTGGTCACCTAGGCTTCACCCCGGAGCTCGAGACTCGGTGCTCGAGTAGCACCACCATCAAGTCACTCACGTGTTGTCGCCATCACTTTTCCGCGATCCCAGCAGCTACTTGCGATGTGTGATCGCCGCTGCTACACCACCATCCCTCTGCGTCGAACCATTGTCCATAGTTTGCATCACTTCGCCTAAGTCAAAACACCGGATCTAGAGGGAGAAACCCTCACGAAGACCTTTCAGTGGTCACTGTAATCAACAACGAGGTCGCCGCTTGGATGAGATGATTCAGCCGTTAGTGGGGCCCAACAGGCAGCAGCGTGTTAGATCAACCACGCCATCAACAGCCTCCGCATCCCAGCATGAGACGGAGCCCGATCCACCCAATTTGCATCTGAAGAAGCACGGAGTCTGGCCGGATTGAGAGGCGTAAGAGCGGCGCAGAGAGGCCCACCCATCCTCTGCAAACAACTAGCTAGCAGACAACCAACGGCTAGACAACTCCCAATTCATGGAGCACCGCCCAAAGCCATTGCCATTGATGAGAACTCACATGATATTTGCAAAGCCAGCCTCAACCAACCACACATGCAACTTGATTGATTTGCAGCCTAACAACATATGCACGTCCTGAGTAGACGTACGTAGGAGTGAATCTGGCTTGATTGATTCGATCTCTTTGCAGGGTCCTCATGACATCGAGAAGAACAACCACAAGCAGAGTCCCCGCCGCAGCCATCAGCCGCACTAGCTTCGCCGCCGGCGTCCTCGGGCGACAGCGGGATGGATAGATGGGAGGAGAAGGAAGATTAGGCTGGGGTACGGCGGCTCTGCCCGTGTTGCCCAGGAAGAGCGACGCGGGGCCAGCGTAATTTTCGGATCGGCTCGGATCGGCCAAACGGAATAACTCCGAACATCAAATAAACTAATTAATCATCTTAGTAATGTTGTTAGCAATTTATGTTCGGTATGTGTTTCTCTAAGTATCTAATACTACATCACCCTTGTTACTATGTTTTATACAAATCGAGTACAACTGCACCGGATAACCGTAAAATAAGAGTAATCGGGTTTCAGAGGTTATTTGCTATCAAGATTACCTTGGTCTTCAGTGCACAATTAATAAACTATTTGACCCGGCGGATGGGGAAAATGATCTACAACATAGAGTATTCTATCAACAACATGGCACAAACTGCAATTGCTGAATCGTGTTGCATCGTGCTTATTATAAGCTAGTGCATACGAGAATTTGAGAAAAACATTTTTCTTAAAGCCTATTTGAGTACCCATTGTACCATTAATTTCATCTTCTTCTTTTTTATAAAGGATACTCCCTCCTGCTTATACTCGTATTAGTTTACAGAGGGAGTAATATCAATTGGGAATGTAAGTTTCATCTCATAAGCTGCAGAACAGAAGATAAGTTTATCTGCAAACTGGTTAAAATAAGCAAACAGCCAAACCATTACCAAATGGAGCCGTGGTTGCACACTTTGGCTATTCGCGGAGGCCCACTGGAAATTTCAGCTAGCCGACGGAAATACCTGGTACAGGTCCTGAGATCAACCCATTTCGTCATCCCAAAGGCCCAACACCAAAATCTACGCAAAAAAAATTGTTTCAACACCAAAAAAAAGGTTCAACACATGTCTTACCTGGAATCAGTCCAACTTGCCTTGCCTGCTTTAGATTTAGTCTAGCAAGGTGTTCGCCATGTCGTTTGGACGTTGGCAGATGTGATGTGTGTGCCCTTGAAAGGCAAGGAAAAGAATATTCGCCTCGTTTCAAACTTGGAGTGCAATTAAAAATGGTGAGCATTGAACTTTTTTTCTGTTCTTGCCGGGTGGGCAGCACGCCAGCTAGTATATCTTGCTATGAATATCATGGACAAAGTCGTTCAGGTCTTGTTTAGTGTATGCAGTTAGGTACGCCGTACACGGGTGGGGATGATAAGATTATTTTTTTCAAGCAATGGGCCGATAAGGATATTCTCTGGTGCTCACTGTAAAAAAGAAGATGATGATGGCTTTATTTTCATCATGAGGCGGATAGAAAATTCTTAAACTGGCCACTGCGAGAGGGTTATTCACACCTCTGGCATGCTCCGGCATGCAGGCGAGAGCCTTCATGTTTGCTCATGATGTTATGGTCTTTTGGAAACTGAGATGTGTGAAGCTCCCCCAC